ATTCTTTGCTCTTGTGAAAGGGCAAGGAATGTGAAAGAAATGGCTTTAAACTTTTTTATCCTGATTGATATTTCTGTTCATCAGTGTTTAATTGGGTTATAATTAAAGATAATTCTTGAAAATACTCTTCAGGATTTCAATAATTACTTATTAATACCTTAAAAAAAACCCACCAAAACCAACAAAAAAATGTCTTAGCATACTAGGCATTGCAGGTGTTACACAGAAACAGGCTCTCTGGTGCAGTTACAGCTGCCAGATCTTTAGTTCTCTAGTCCTTTATCTTGTTCCTGGTATGTTCAATATGAGTGGTTTAGGAAGGAGCAACAAGAATTTTCAGTATTTTATTAGTGTCCTTCTTTTGCTTCTAGGTGCTGATCAAAATTGCTTTATTACACAGATGCATCAATGTTGGCCATTTTTACATATGCAGCATATGTTTTTTATTAAATTACTCAATGTGGTTTGTTGTTTTTTGTTTTGGAATCTAGAGAGGAATGAGACATTTATGTATGCCTTGTGCATTTATTTGCATTTGTCAGCAGACTTTCTTGCTTCTTGTTTGTGTAGTCCTGTTTTGCTACATTTATCCTGTAGTCTCAGCCAAGTCAAGTTCGTCATCTCTCCATAACAGAGTTGCTTAGAAATATATTTCTGTTAAGCAGAAGTGTATTTACTGATCCTTTTCCAATTTTCTTATTTATAGTATTAACCCATAAGAAAGACTTTAAAAATGATCCTCCTTAGGAAAAAAAGAAAGTTAGACAAAGGAGAGTTTTAATAAATGCCTATAATCGATAGACAGTAAGGTTATAAACTCTTCAGTCAAAATTTGCCTAAAGTTTGATTTCTTCTGAAAAACTGTTGCTATTCCTCAACACCTCTTCATAATTTCAGTCACTTTCTACCATCTTATACTTTCCTCTTTAACTTTTCTCAACTTCTTGAAACTGAGCATTTTTTGAGTTAATTAAATTTGAAATACATTTCTTAAGAACTTTCAGCTAATACTTAGGGATTTATCCTATCCCTTGTTATCTTAATCAGGTGACAAAGTGACATGCAGTGAGCTTTTTCCATTTGCCCTGTAAGGGCTTATTTCTTTGCTAGAAGTTGTTGCGAGTTTAAAGACTTAAAATTACTTTTAAAGGGTGTATTCCTTGCTACCTCAGACACCTGCAGCTGTGGCACCATTCCTG